TGAGGACCTGAAAAGTATGCATAAAATATGCAAATCACCAAGAATATGCAAATTGCTAAAACTAGAAAAAAATCCACCTCAAGTACAACAAAGGTACGTCCAGTATAGCAGAATCCTACAGGGGAAGATTATATCACAATGAAAAGCAACCCACTCTGGGTATCTCAGAAGGATTCTAGGTTATTCTTATGTTAAGAGGCAATCACAGAAGACTTTGTTCAGTTGGATTCCATTTACATAAATCTCAAAAACAGGCAAAACTAAAAACATTTTGTTTGGGATAAATACAGTCATATTTGGTTGATTCTGAGACATACCTTTTACTCTAACATTTTAATCTCTCTAAAAAGACATGCATCTTATAACCAGTGGTGTCTTGCACATTTCTTTTTTTTTTTTTTTTTTAGGCACCATTATGCATCTCACAATGTTGGGGGTTTGAAATTCAATGAAATATAGTAGGTGATAAAACTATTTTTAAAAAGTGACAGAATGACTAACACAAAATTTAGACCTATGATTACCTGTGTTCAGGAGGGGAGGAAGGAGGCTGAGGGAAGGAAGAGGTACCCAGAAGCATCCCAAAGTACTAGTGTTTTTTTGTTTGTTTGCTTACTGGTGTTTGTTTTATTATTGTTATTTAAGCTTATTAGACTTTTGCATGTATGAATATCTTTCACAATTCAAGAAAAAAGGTGTGCAAGTGGTGGAAGTATAATATTTTTTTTTTTTTTTTTGCCACTGTGACCAAAGAATTTTAGAGAAGAAAAAATGTATCTGGCACTCATAATTTCAGAAGTCTCAATCCATAGATGGCCAACTCCATTGCTCTGGGGCCAAGGTGAACATCAGGGTAGAAGGGTGTGACGCAGGAAAGCAGCTCAGGATATGACAGTCAGGAAGCAGAGAGAGACTCAGCTTGGCTCACCAGGGACAAAATACATACCCAGGAGCACATCCCCTGTGCCCCACCTCCTCCAGCCACATCCTGCCAACTAGTTACCACCCAGTTAATCCATTCAAGTGGATTAATGCACTGATTAGGTTAAGACTCTAATAACCCAACCCCTTCACCTCTAAACTTTCTTGCATTGTCTCACACATGAGTTTTGCGTGATACCTCCTATCTAAACCATAACACGGGGATGCACATGTGCATCAGGAAGCTGTGTAGACAGGTGGGGGGAGAGAGGCAGGGGGCAGTTGCAGGAGGACACTGCAGGGAATGAGTGGGAAGATGGGGGAGTGGGAGCCATCAGAACCACACATGCAGAGACACCGGCCTTTGAGGAGTGACACTTCCTCCATTTTAATAAAAGGAACAAAAGGAGAGCTAGGCTCATGGAATTTGCAGTGGAATTTTCTACATGCTTTCCTTGGGGGGGGGGGTTCTGCTTTCTGTATGAAGAATATATAGGGCTGGGGATATAGCTCAGTTGGCAAAAGTGCTTGCCTCACATGCACAAGGCCCTGGGTTCAATCCCCAGCACGTAGAAGAGGAAAGAACGATGGAAAGCCTTTTTTTTTTGGAGAAATAAAAAACAAAAACTGGCCGGAATAAAGGAGAAATGATCTCAGACATTTCTAAGCTGTGCAATTTTTCTCTGGTAACAGAAAGGTGCCGGAAGCTCCACAGTGCCTTGCACAGGTAGAAAGACTGGAATTTTTGCTAAAAACGGCAGAAAAGTTTGACAAATCAGCATTAGCTGGAATCCACAGTTCCTGGGTCTCTTGGTTGGAGGGGTCAGGTGTAGGTGATGGGCTGAGTAGGTGACACCTGCTGGGCTCTGGGAATGGGATGGGCAAGGACCTGGCTCTTTTCATATGTGGTTTTCTGCTGCCATCTGCTGGCTGATAGTGGGAACACTCAGGAATCTGCAGAGAGTCCTAACTTCCTCCACAAACCTTAGATCTTACTGGGAAAGAGGCAGGGAAAGCTACTAGAATCAGACTGTGAAGTATGTCAATCCCACCTTCTACACACACACACACACACACACACACACCACAACATTTTGATCAATGATACAGTAAACTTTTACTTTTTGGCATACCATGACTGCATAATATAATGTTTTAAAAACTAGATCAAGATGTTTGCATCATAAAAACAAAACAAAACAAAAAAAATCATTACATCTGCCACTTTTTCAAAGATGACATTTTTCAAGATCCAAGAATATAAGAATTAGAATGCAAATCTTGTGGATTTAACAAAGCACTGGTTTGTCCGTAATTTCATGTTTTCAAAAAATCTTAAATTTCTTGTATATCTGTTAAGAATTGTTTTGATATTTTAAAATCATAATTTCCTGTGTGATAATCTAGGGAATCCCACCATTTGGTTACAGTACTTTTGAAAATTTAACCATTTTCATTTTCAAAGGTGAATTTTCATCAAGACAAAATCAGTAGTTTGTGCTTTTAGAAATTTCACTTCATTATTTCTACTGGGCGGAGGGATGTTCAAAAGTAATAAAAGAGCGCTTTGAGTTGAGAAGCATTAAGTAAATGCCAGAGAAACCATTGCGCTTACCAAGAAATCCTAGAATTCCTGGTCAGCTGTGCTGTGCAGGATGTGTTGCTTTGTGGCCTTCAATGCCCCTTAAAATAGGTAGGTATGAAAGCTGTCAGTGCCCCTGAGTCTCTTGAGCCCCAGACTTCTGGATGCAGTCACCTGAGCAATCATTTAAAAGGCAAGTCAGATCCTGATACCCCACTTGCTTTGGGAGAGGTCAATGTTACACCTTAGAATAGAATACTGATCCCTTATCAGCTTTGCAGGGTCACAGGATTGGACTCATCCTTGCCCCTTCAAGCCTGTCCTTCCATGGTTTTCATTTTCGTCCTTTGTGCATCTTTCTGTTTCAACATTCTGTTTATTTCCTTTAGAGCCCTTGCTTCATCTGTAGTAACTGTTTTATTTATCTGTTCATTTCTTGTCTTCACCACTAGGTGTCACCCCATTCAGTGGGTCCATGTTGCTCTCTCTGGTTTTCCCAGTGTCCAGTGAACATTTATTTACCAAGGAATGAATAAGTGAATGAGTGATTTGAGCAAAGGAATATGTCACTCCAAGCAAGTTCATGGTATGAAGCTCATTCTAGAAGTAGAAGGAAGTTCCATTCCTGCATCCTGGCGTGGGGAGAAGAGGTCTGTAGCTGGCAGTGGGTGGATCCTGGACTCCCACTAGCCCCCAGGACTACTCCTGCTGTTCTTAGGAGAACACCAGTAGAGCAGAGGCCACTCAACCACAGTGTAGGAGGGCTGAGGGCATCAGAGGTGTGCAACGCTTAGGTGTGACCGTTCCATCAGTGTGTGGATACCCATCCAGGAGGCAAACACCGGCTCCTAAACCAGCTAGTAGCACTTTGTATTGCTCCAATGTCCTTCTGTTGAAAAGGTCCCAGCAATGCCACAGGCTCGAAGCCCTCTCCAAAGAGGGCATATTAACATCTCCATTTTACAAATGGAAAGATAATGGGCCCATGTTCAGTGGGCTAGAGAACACTCGTGGGCGGCAAGCTCCTGTCTGGCCTTCCAGAGGTTCTCCCAGTCAGACAATCAGAGCCGGAGTAAGAGAAAATAAACCAGAACTGTCATCAGTTCAGAATCAGTGGCTTGGGAAGCTTGATGAGAGCCGCCCCATGAGAGGTAGCTGGGGTGAAATGCTTGCTTAGCTCCAGAGAGGCCTGGGTCGGACATCTCAGGACACAGTTTTCCCTCTCTGGAGTCCCGAGGTGGTTTCCTCTGCCTCTCTCCTGGGTAGGGTCCTGGCACCTGGGGGAGAAACCACCTGGACAAGGAGCTCAAGCCAGAATGGAGTGTGCGAGGGTCTCCGAGGCAGGGCCAGCCTTCAGGGCAGGCCGATCTGGGGGTTCTTCAGGAAGAAGGCCAGTTTTTGGGCTACGGAGTCCAGCTCGCTGGAGTTAGCATATTGGAGGAGGTTGCTCTTTGGGACGAAGTAGTGCTTCAGGAAGTGCTGGCTCACACACTTGTGCAGCTTCCTCACCAGGCGCAGGAGGGCTTTGTGGAACACCTGCCAGTCCTTCAGGTGGGGATACTTCTCACAAGTCCAGAAGAGCACAGTCTGTGGAAGGAAGAGGGAGCGTCAGACGTGGTTTTGGGGTCCCTGAGCGGAATATCTTCAGAAACAAGTACTGAGTCTGTGTGGCCTTGGAAGGAGGGAGAGAAGAAAATGGGACCAGGAAAATGGATCCTGCCCTGAATTCATGATCCTCAGTCTCAGATGGGCACTCAGCCTTAGCCAGTGGGTCCTCTCCCTGTCTTGGCTGATTTATTCTCTCACTCTCCTCTGACATTTCTAGTGATCATCACTCTCCTCAAGTCTGCAGCGGCACACACCATGCCTTTGTCTTGTGTTTTAAAGGCAACATGGAACCAACCCCTCATCCTCGGAAACCCAAGAGCTCCCTTTACCCCTTCTGTTCCACCGCTCCTCCTAGCCAGGGCTGACCCCTGCACAGGACCCAGATCCTGCCATCTTGGAACTGCGTATGATTGCTCTCCCTCTTGCTCCATGGCTTCTCGACCGGTTCCAACTCTCCTGCTCCTGACCCCCACTTCCCTTCGGTCCTAACTCTTGCCTCTCTGCAAATCTAGGTTCCCAGTCACTTGTCATCATTTTCTCTCTTTTCATTCATTGCCTGCCTCCCATCCCCTCCAATATGGCGTCTTCTTCCATTAATCCTAAAAGGGCCGCTCTTGCTATGGCCCAATGATCTCCATGTCTCTCAGTCCAACCAGACTTTTTCAGACTTGGCTTTATCTGCCTTTCAGCTGATTAGATTCCCGTCTACGCCCTCCTCTTTTGAGTCACTCTTCACTCGGCTTCCAAGCTAATCTACTCTCTGGGTGTTCTCCTAGCATTACAGCTACTCCTTGGCAGAAATATCATCCTTGACCCACCTCTAAATGTTGGAGTTTCTGGGGGTTTCCTTCCCGCACCACTTCTCCTCTTTACCTCTCTTCCCCAGCTCTGTGTTCCTCCCACCACAGAGGCTTTAGTTCCCGTTAATATGGTTGACCTGTAAATGGTTTTCTCCGGCTCTGATGTTTCCTCTGATCTCCTTACCTGTTTCTCTTGGATTTCTAAAAGTTATCTCAGTCTCAACATGTCCAAACTGAACTCATGGCCTTTCCACACAGCCTGATCTGCCTTCAGAGTTGCTTATTCAGTGAGTTATGCAAGACACAAACCTAGGAGTCATCCCTCTCCCCACCATGCCCAGCCAAGTCCTGCCCAAACTCCTGCCTAAGTAATTTTCAACTCTGCCCACTTACTTCATCTCCAGTGATAACACCCTCTTCCACACCACACAACATTTCACCTGGATCCTGGCAACAACCGTAACCAGTCTGCACCTACTGCCTTCACTGTTTAGCCTGACCCCACCCACACTGCAGTCCTCATGATCTTTTTGAAATATAAATCTTGGTTCCTTCTTGTCTAAATGCTTCAACTTCTTCCCACTGTTAATTAACTAAAAGTACAATTTTTTAACATGGTTTGGTCCATGAGGTTTGGCCTCAGCCTCCCTTGCTAGCCTTTTGACAAAGATGTCAAGAAAGATATGGAATCGGGTGAGACATCCATCAACAGAGCAACGGATAAAGAAAACCTGGTACCCATGCACAATGGGGTGTCATTCAGCCATAAAGAATGGAACCCTGCCCCTTGCAGGAATGTGGATGGAACCGGAGGACATTATGTTAAGTGAAATAAGTCAGACACAGAAAAGCAAGTACTGCATATTCTCTCTCATATGTGGAAGCTAAAAAAAAGTTGATCGGAATATGGAATGGTGATTACTAGAAGGTGGGAAGGGTGTAAGGGTGAGGTTGGGATTTGATCAGTATGTGTCATGTGCATTAGGGGAAATAGCACACTGAACTTCACGAATGTGTACAATTAATACATGTTAATCAGACATAAAATAAGTATTTTAAAAAGAACATTGGAGAAAGGACAATCTCTAATAAGTGATTCTGGGAAAACTGAAGAGGGGTGTGTGTGTGTGTGTGTGTGTGTGTGAATACATACATGAACATACATATATAATGTATATGAATATAAATATTATATGAATGAAACTAGATTTCTATCACCCTATACAAAAGTGAACTCAAAATGGATCAAAGAACTAAATGTAATACCTGAAACTATGGAACTACTGAAAGAAAACATAAGGGAAACAGTTCAAGATATTGATACAGGCAAAGATTTTTTGGATAACACCAAAAGCATAGGTAACAAAAGTAAAAACAGACAAATGGAATTGTATCAAACTAAGAAGCTTCTGCACAGCAAAGCAGTCGACAAAATGAAGACACAACTGCAGAATGAGGGAAAACCTTCCCAAACCACGCACCAGACAGGGATTTATATTCAGAATATATACAGGACTCGACACCAAAAGAACAAATGATCTGTTGAAAATGTGGGCAAATTATTTAAATAGACATTGCTCAAAAAAAAAAAGAAAGAAAGAAATACAAACGGCCAACAAATATATAAAAGATGCTCCAGGTCACTAGACATCAAGAAAATGAAAATCATACCTCATACCCACAGTGAGATACCATTTCATCCCAGGTAGAAGGGCTAATTTCAAAAAGACAAAATGTAAACAGGGTGAGGATACAGAGAAAGAAAAACTTGTTCATTGGTGGTGGAAATGTAAATGAGTACAGCTATTATGGAAAACAGTCTGGAAGTTCCTCCAAACACTTAAAATAGAACTACCACACGACCCAGCCATCCCACTACTGGGTCTGTGTTCAAAGGAAATGAAATCAGTGTATCAAAGGGAGACATGTATGCCTGTGTTTACTGCAATGAAGAGCACTGCAACAGATATCCATCAACAGATAAATGGATAAAGAAAATGTGACGTATCTATGTACATAATTGAATATTATTCAGCCATAAAAAAATCCTGTCATTTGCAGTAACCTGGATGGAACTGGAGGACATTATGTTAAGTGGAAAAATAATTCAGGAGCTGAAAGACCAATATTGCAAGTTCTCACACGTGGATGCTACAACAGCTGACTTCACGGGAGTCGAGAGTACAATAGTGTTTACTAGAGCTTAGGAAGAAGGAGAGAGGGAGGCGGGAAATGATTCCAAAACACAGTAGGACAGGAGGCAGACGTTCTGTTTTAGGGTGACTGTACAGTTACAATGATTTACTGTATTTTTCAAAATAACTAGAAGAGTTCAAAGGTTCCTAACACATAGAAGTGATAGATGCATGAGGAGAAGAAAATGCTAATTACCCTAGTTTGATCATTATGCATTGTAGACATGGATCGAATGATACGATATCTGATAAATATGTACAAATAGTATGTGTCAATGTAAAAATAAATCATCCATGATATACTGAGAAAAGAAGGGGAGGGAGGGAGAGGGAGAGGAAAAAAAGAGGAAAGAAAAAGGACTCATAAAAGGCCAGGAGACAGAGGATGTTTGACTCCAGGCAGGGACACACAGAGAGCCCAAGTGTATTATATTTCCATAATGAGTAATCATCCGTGGAATGGCCACTGTGGCCACTATGGCCTCATCCTAAATTGATCCCATGCACCACCCTCTCTGAGTGGCCCTGGCCAAGCTGTACACACAGGGTCCCACCTAACCAGAGCTGCCCAGCGGCCACTCCACCGCCACCCCAGGCTCACCTGCAGATGGTGGGAGGTGAGGACAGGCCTCTTCCCAGGACACCAGACGTCCTCCTTCAGCTGCCTCAAGACCTGAAAGCACTGTCTGCGGCAGCCCCCATCCTCGTCCAGCTGCTCCAGGAGCATCTGCTCGGCCTGGGAGAAGCTGAGCTGCCAGTGATAGCCGGCGTGGGCCAGCAGGTTGAACCCAAAGGACTGGAACAGAGGGGAGATGGGCAAGGTGAGGAGGAGGGCGCTCGCTGAGGCAGAAGGCCATCCTGGGGACGTGTTGCTGGGCAACATTGCGTCCTACACGGGGACAAGAGGGCAGCGAGGGGACAACACAGACCACAGTGGCTGTGGACAGGGAGCCGGAGGAGGCTCCGTCTGCTTTGTCTGTTGTCGGGCTTCAGTGTGCATCAGAGACCCCTGGAGGGTCGCGGAGCCTCATGGGGCCTGGGGCTCCGTGTCTCTAACAAGTTCTGGGGTGATGCTGCTCTGGGCTGGGACTGACATTTCGAGAAGCAGATCTAGCAAACCCCCAACTTTCCTTGGGGAGCCCGTTAGCCATACTGCAAGGGGTAAGCTGATAGTGTCCAGGTCCCTGGTACCTTGAGGCATTCCACTTTCTCTGGGGAAGGCCAGCGCTTCAGACACCGAGGCCACTGTGCTTTCTCAGACCAGGCGGTGGGGATCTCCACGGTGGGGACCAGCTCTATTTCCACCTGACATGCGGTTGTTTCCACGGCAACCCAAATGGCCTCGCAGTTTGCCAGCAGGCTGACCTTACCTGGTGGGCAGTGACCAAACAGAGAATGAGAGAGGGAAAGGCCTGCTCACAGAGAAGGAGTCTGTGAGCAGCTGCTCCAAACAGCCCCTTGCTACCTGAGGGGCACATTTGTGGGGGTGGGGGTGGAGGGACTTATGTCAAAACCAGTCAGATAACCATTGTTAGAGTATTACTAGGAAATCTCATTGCTGGTGGGTTTTTTTTTTTTCTTTTTTCTTTCCTTTGCCCCAAAGCTTTTATGCTATCTTTAATTCTTTTTTTAAATTTATTTTTATGTCTTACATACATGACAATAGTAGAATGCATTACAATCATAATTATCCATTCACAGCACAATTTTTCATAACTCTGTATATAAAGTATGTTCATGCCAAATTATGCCATTATACATGAGCTCTCTTATTTATTTATTTTTTTTTTTGCATTACGATTCTTAATACACCTTTATGCCACGATTTATCATCTCTCTGTTTGTATATAAGGTATGTTGACACCAAATTCTTAATTTACTTTAGCACATCTGTGTGCGTGCACGTGTGTGTATGTGTGTGTGTGTGTGTGTGTGTGTGTGATGTTGGAGATTGAACCTTGCACCTGCTAAGCACTGAGTTACACCCTCAGCCCAGCATCTTTTTGTTTAATGGATTCTCTTCACAAGGTTCAACTGAAAGAAAACCGTAGAATAAAATGAAAATATTTGCTGCTGTCAAATGAAATCCAACCTTTTTTTTTCCTATTCTTCTCCCTTCTATCCAAGCATTGAGATATCAGTTTCAGATTAATCCAAACATAAGGAAAGAGAGTGCCATTTTTTTTTCTTTTCATCCTTCACCCAGATACTCTGACATTGTTCAAGGACAGCCTCAGTCCCCTTACTTATTCATATGCCTTTGGTGGAATTCTGCTAACCTGTCTTTATCAGAGTCAAAATCTCTTAGATGGTGTTTGTTTCCACCATCCATCTGCCAAGCAGATGTATGTATTTATCCTCATCAGCCCCTGTAATCATAAAACCCTTCAAAGCATGTCACGGCCACTGTTTCAAGAGGCCAGGTGAGTGGAAAGACACCCCCACTGCCTGCTTCCCGGTCAGGCAGAGAAAAAAGGAAAAAATAAAATAAAAAAGAAGTGGCTGATAAAGTTCTCCAGCTCACATACTAGACTCTCCTAGTTTCTAGTTTTCTCCTGCTTCTTTCAAAACATAGTAGCTTTTTTTTTTTTTTGCCTTCACGACAGATGAATGTCTTGAATCAGGGTCTATTATTTTGTTGGGTTTTTTTCCCTGCTCAGAGAAAAAAATGGAAGCTTATTAACCATGCTAGGCTGCTCAGAAGGAAAACGTTCTCTCCTTGACTGGGTGAGATGAGGGGCTCATCGTCTGCCTCTCATCAGAGCTGCACAGACAGGAACAAGATGATGTCTGGTACTTGGGCATCAGTAGCTGAAAGCACCTCTGATAACCTGGTCTAGCCTGAGTCTCTTATTGGCACTTACACTAGTAACAATGTGGCAAAGTATAAGAGGTGAGCCAATGTGGAGGCAATCTGCCGGGCCCACACCCTGCTTCTGGTTTACTTGGTATGTGGCCTTCAGCTAGCTACTTAATCTCCCAAGTCTCAGTTTTCTCATCTGTAGAATAAGTGCGAAAGAGAATTTTTACTCTGAAGGGTTGTTACGGGGATTAAATGATCCATGAAAGCATCTTCTATATAGTAAAAATCATTTAGACATAAGCTAGGGAAATATTCAGAGCAATTCTGTTTAGATAAGTAAACCTATCTGCAAATGTATCCTTTTCTTTCTAGACAAATGGAACTGCACAGGGCTCAGCAGTGTGGTTCTTCATTTCATCACCCTGCACCTGCATTTTTTATACTATCTGCCTGTGTGTGTCTCATTCCTCAAAAGGCTGCGTGGAGGTCCATGAGGCAGAGGTAGCAGAATTTACTTGGCCAATTCTCCTTTGTTAGTCATATTTCTAGCTACTATTATAGAGCCTCTGGTAGGGACTATCTTTGTGCCTATTTCTTCCTGTATTTGGAGAAACATATTTCTAGAACTAGAACTGCTGAATTGCCAATTAGGTGCATTATTATTATTTTTTTTAATGGAAACATTTGACCCTTGAGTTTCTGAGTCTGGTGGCCATCATACTAAGTGAAATAAGCCAGACTCAGAAAGGCAGGGGTTAAATGTTTTCTCTCATATGTGGAAACTAGAGACAATTAGGAAATTAAAAATGGAGGGAGGGGTCTCATGAAAATAGAAGGGAGAACAGTAGAGGAAGGTGACTGGGGGGGAGGGAGGAAGAGAACAGGGGAGGAAGGGCAATGAAATTGACCAAACTATGCCATGTGCACTCTATCCCAACGACTTCCACTTTTATGTGTAATTATAATGGATCAATTAAAAAATAAATGAACAGAAGGAAGACCATACAGTAGAGGAAGGGGCATCAGGGGGACAGAGGAGGGGAGGGAAGTGGGGTACTATTGGGGATTGAAATGGAGCTAATTATATTTGTGAGCTAATTGCATTTGTGAATATGTTGAAATAAAAAGATTTGGGAGGTGGCATACAATGCTTTTATGTAAAAATATTCATGAAAATTTAATGGGCTGTATTCATTTGCCAACATAAAATAAACTTGTTAAAAAATAAAAATAAAAAAATGGACAAATTGCCTCTTAAAAAGAAAGCACCAAGGCACTTCCAACTTTAATCTATGAATATGCCCCGTTGACCATGCCCACCCAATGCTGAGCAGGTCCCCACTTCTCATCTCTGTCAATCTGTTCGGGATTTGAAGGCACATTTCTTGAAATACACATTAAATGGAACATTTTTTTTCTTGTTTTTACCATTCATTTGTAGACTGTTTATTTCTTTTTTTTTTTTTGTCATTTACTTATTCTTTGGGCTTTTATTTCAATCAGACAGCTTTTTTTTTTCTTACTGGTTTACAAATACTCATAATTAAGGAGATTAGCAAATCCTTTTTCTAGTTTGAAATTCACCCTTGTGCTTCGCATGAACAAAGAGTGTGTTTCAATGGAAAAATGACTCAGCCATAAAGAAGAATGAAAGTATGGCCCTTGCTGGTAAATGACAGAACTGGAGACTATCATGCTGAGTGAAATAAGCCAATCTTCCAAAAACCAAAGGCAGAATGTTCTCTCTGATATGTGGGTGCTAACACACAGTGAGGGGGTGGGGAAGAAAGAATAGAAGTTCATTGGATTAGACAAAGGGCAATGAAGGCAAGGGAAGGTGGATTGGAAAGGAAAGACACTAGAATGAGTCGGGCATGTCTTATGCGAATACACGGCCAGTGAAACGCCACGTCATGCACAACCACAAGAATGGGATCCTAATCAGAATAAGTTACACTCCATGTATGTGCGATATATCAAAATACATTCTACTGTTATGTCTAAAAAGAACAAATAAAAAAAAAATCTTTAAAAAGAGTGTCTGCGTGCACGTGTGTGTACATCCATCTACTTGGCCCATATCATACAACAGCTTAAGGTATTGGAGCTGTCAAACTGAATCCGTTCTGATGGCTTCAAGATTCTGTGCTTTGGTACAAGGATGCCAGGACAGGTAATCTGCTTAAACCCATGGGAGTGTCTGTCTGTACAAATTCCGCTCTTCTGTGTGTCACAACCAGAAAAAAAAGAGCTCCTCCACGCTCTGGGGACTCCACTGGTGTCAAGAACACACGATTACTATCTCAGGTAACACCCGAGCGGAGGCTTTTAGAGAAAAAGGGAGAAAGCCACCATTTCCCTGGGACCTTTTCCCGATCGGCTCACCTGAGAGGTGACAGGTCCTAATAGCGTTTTCCACTAGCTTCCGGAACACCAGGAGGACCTTGGCGGGCACAATGTCCCCCTCGATGTTCACGTCTGCCTCATGCCACTGCCACAGGCTCTTCATGAACTGTTCCACCTCCAGCCACTGCTGCAGGCCCTCCGGGTCCCTCAGGGGACAGGGGATCCGGGTGCCCTGAAGGGTGTAGTACCGCCAGCGCCGCTCCCTGGCCTCCCGGTACCCGGCCAGACCTTTCACTGGGACTGTGACCAGGAACTGGCTGGGGGCCAAAACCTGGGGTCAGGAAAGTTGAGAAGACGAGGGTGAGTTCACAGACGGAGGAGGTAACAAGTCCTTGGAGAGCTGACTGTCAAGCCAGGCAGCTCAGTTAACCACTCAGCCCACGGCCATGAGACCAGGCAGGCAGAAAACCAGGCCCAGGCATCGCGAGAGGCTTACGTCTGTGTTTTGCCACTAAGCCACTGTGAGGCTGCGGCTCATCAGTTAACTCACTGAACATGAATCCACAAGTAAAAACCCCTAGAACTCTGGAGGGGACCTAAATATAGGAGAGGAAAAAGGAGAGGAAGAAACTAATATTCCCTGAGTTGCACACATGTGAACCATAGCAATTCTCATACATTTGTCCCTTTGATCTTTATAGACACTCATTGAGGTGGACTTTGCTGCCATTTCCCAGATGAGGGACCTAAGGTTCAGAGGGGCTTAGAAATCTCCCTAGAGACACACAGCCAGGAAGCAGGAAGAGCCAGAATTTGAGTTTAGGTCTTTTATTTTCAGTACTGGGGATTAAACCCAAAGCTTTGTGCATACTAGGCAAATGCCCTTCTATTGAGCTACATCCCCAACTCTTTTGATTTTTTATTTTGAGACAGTTTTGGTAGATTGACCAGGCTGCCCCCCAAGTTACAATCCTGCTGTCTCAACCTTCTGAGTAACTAGCATTACCGGCATGTGCCACCATGCCCAGCTGAGTTTAGAGCTTTCGAGAGCTCACTCAATGATCATCTTCTTACCCTGGGCTAGTTTTCATTCAAGAATGAATGACATGGCCAGGTGCAATGGCATGTACCTGTAATCCCAGAGATTCTGGAGGCTGAGGCAAGAGGATTACAAATCTGAGGCCAGATTCAGCAAATTAGTGAGGGTCTCAACAACTTAACAAGACCCTGTCTCAAAAATTTCAAAGGGCTGGGGATGTAGCTCAGTGGTAAAGTAACCCTGGGTTCAATCCCCAGTACCAAAACAACAATAATAACAACAAAAGCAAAAAAAAAAAAAAAAAAGACAAAAAATAATGAATGAATGATCTGGAATGGGTGAAAGGTCTGATATGAATAATGAATACAGGGTGGGAAGGGATGGAAAAGGAGGTGGCAGGATTTTGCAAAATGGAACCCTTTCTTGTTGCCTGTACTGAGGATCCATGCCCAGTATTAATGAGTAACCCTTACCAAATCAAAGGTGAAATGAAAGACTATTTGTGTAGACAATGTGAGCTATTGAGATGATTCTAAGTTTAATGGGGAAAAGCGAGCAATCAGGTTCCACCCACTGCTATTCTCCAGAAACCAGCTCAGCAGTGGTCAGCAAGAAAATTGGCCAATAGTCCAAAGGATAGAATAAGCTAGTCAAGAGTGCAGAACTGCCAAAGGCAACTTGAACTTTGGTCATGTTGCACGGCAGCCCACTCCACACCACACCTTCCCTGTAGTTCGGCTACCTCCTCTTCATGGAAAGTTCTGACAATAGAATGTGGTAAACTCTGGCCCAGGGCCTGGCCTCTTCAGGAGTGAACAGCAAAAATCAGCTGCAACCGATTCTGCCTCACTCTCAGAGAACGACTGATTGAAGTTTTGGATGATGGGTGCACATGACTTATGGTGTCCGCAGAAAGGGGGCTAGACGAAAAATCTAACCCATGGAATTAAAATGTTGTTCTAATGCACCTGCAGGTCAATTCAAGAACACAACTACCACGTTGCTGGTCACAAAAATGGTGCACATCAATGCTGTCGAATTCAGTCCGTGATAAACTGAAAGCAATTTTATAGGCTACATGTAACTACTTTCAAAATTTAATACGCAAGACACAAAGTATATAAACCCAAGGTATATTTTGAGCTATGCATTCTTAATGGGAGCACAGAAGGAAACTTTCTCCGTGTAGTTCTAGGAAAAGTGATGCAGTATATATCTATCGAATCCCACTCACTGGTCTGTATTTGTCCAACTTAGGTTGGCCTGGGGAGGTCAAGGTGGGCAGGTGGGTTCTGAAATTCCAGGAATCTAATCTAGTTTTACAATTTTCACCCTGGAATAGATTTCCTAAGATCTGACTCTGACTCAAAAATCAACAAGTCCCAGAGTCTTGCGGGTTGTCTTTGTGTCCCTCGGCCTTGAGATAGATTAGGTCAGCAGTGGTGTTTTGTTCAGGTAGACATCCTTTCACTGATGCCCTCATTCATTCCACGTAGGTTGAGTGTCTACCCTGTGCCACACACACCATGCTGGCTGCTGGAATGAAGCCACCAGTAAACAGGATCCCCTCCATCAGGCAGCCTGCGGGCTGGTATGAGAAACAGGATGTGAGTTCATCCCAATTAAGTGTAAGATGAAAGAGGTTCTTAAGTGGCATCAGAAAAATTGCGATAAAGAACGATGAGGATTCAGAATGATGCAGAACCTCACTTCTCTCATGTTCTAAGTAGGAATAACCACACTGTCTTTCCCACAGGCTAACAGGCTGGAGTGAGATCATTGCTATCAACAGCTCTGCCCACGGGACAGTGTTACTCAAACCGCTGGTTGTCACGCATGGGTCCCGGTGGCTTATACTCCATGGGATTCCTTAGCAGACAGAGGGACTCTGAGTCCACTCCTGCAGTCCCTTTTCTACTCTCTTCCTTCCTCTACCTGCAACCCAGAGACGATCATTTTCAATCATCTTCCTATCAATGCCCTCAGTTCCCTCAACCCAGTCCCCCATCTATGAAGTGGGTGCTTAACTAAGAATGTGTGCCTAATGGGCTTTCATCATCACAGTGGAACAAGCTTTGGAATCAGAAGCCTGGGTAGGAGCTCTGGTTTTAGAGCCAAATATGACTTGGTCAAGTCATTTGGCTTCTCCAAGCCCCGTTTGGATTGTCCAGGAACGTGGGACTCCAACGAGATAACACCCATGAAATGTGGTTGTAGACGGTAAGTACTAAGAGTACCCGGGGAGACATGAAGTATTAGTGGTACTCTCAGTGGGGTGAGCACCTGCTGCATAGAGAGTTCCACCCCCAAGAGCTCTGGTCTGTTAGTGGCCCTTAGAGACCAGTGGCATTGCTTACCTTAATGTTCCCATTGTATATGTCAGAGTAAGGCACAGCTTGGAATCGGATGTCTTGGTGGCTGATTTCTGTGGTCAGACAATGGATGACTCTCTGCACCTCCTCCACAGCCTGGGAAACCTGCTGGCGTCTCAAGTCCACCTGGTGAGAAGGCATTGGCAAGGAGGTTATTTCTTGTGTGGGACCCAAGGTGCTGGCATTAGAAAGTGTTGAGACAAGGGCCCAGTGGTGTGTGACCTGCAACGTTCAGGGCAAAACTCCTGCCTTGCCAAGACTGCTGGGGGGATGAACTTAGGTCTACTCTGACTTCGATGACACGTGCCAGTGCCTCTATGTTTTCTTCTGAAATAGGCACATTCATGCAATATCTATTCCAGAACCTTCTATGTGGCAAGTGCCCAGGGGCTTGCTAGGGACACAATGTGATAAATACAAAAGCAAACAGCATAGAGATACTTGCCCTCTAGTTGAAAACACATACAGGCTATATTTGAATGTGTGTGTGTGTGTGTGTGTTATGTGTGCATGCGCATGTGTGTTATGTAACACCAGGTATAAGTGTTACAAAGAAAAATAAATTAGGGTATAAGATTAGCAAATAAAGGGGCTGCTAATTTAGATAGGGTGGCCAGGGAAGGCTTCCTTGAAGAGGTGACATTTGAGTGGGTCATGAAGGCAACTCGAGAAAGCAGATTCCAAGGCCCCTAAAGTAGGAGCATGCTTGATCATGCTGGAGGGCCTGCAGGGGGGGCCACTATGATTGGAGCCAGGGAAAGGAAGAGGAAGGTGACGGGAGATGAATTTGGAAAAGATTGTGGGGACCAGATCATCACAAAAAAGGTTCTGTGAGCCATGGTGAGACCAGAATGGAATAATAATGTCTTTTCTCCAGGTTGGTAAATATTCAACAGTTTAATGTGTGTAAACACACAGCAGATTGCTTCCCGCTTAAGTCACCAGTGAATGAAGCCTCCCTTCGCCTCTCTACACACCCCCTCCTTCTGCCACTAGACCGTTAAGAAGAACATTCATTTATGATCCCTCTGACTCTGCCCAGTGAGTCACCAAGAACTGGAAAATTCTCACAGAAAACTGAACACCAATAAGATAACTAATATTTAGGGAAATAGACATTTGTGGGAAACACAAAGGAAATTTTAGAGAACTAAATCAGAATCAGAAGCCTTGGTAAGAGCTCTGGTTTTAGAGTCAAATATGACTTGACCAAGTCATATTTAAAAATCCACATGAAGGAAGAAGTGGAAAGAATTTGCAAGTTTCTTCTGATGGTGTGTGTGTGTGTGTGTGTGTGTGTGTTGTGTATGCGTGTGTTGGAGGGAGGTTCTTCATTTGCCAAGGAGGCACCTGTGGGCTGGTGAGTCTCCTTTAGCCAGGGACTGATTTGATATATTGAGACGCAATAGCCATCTATGAATCTTTATAGTCCTTCTGAGTTTGGAATATTGGCTATTTCTGAATATTCTAGAGTAGTTTTGAGACACCCATAAGTGGTTCAAAATGTCCAGAAAAAAAAAGCACCCAAATTTTTCTGTTTACTAAGCTAAGTCACCAACCAGTTCAGTCATCTGAAATCTTATGCCTCCCACTGACCAACAAGCCATTCCACACCCACAAGGAATACAAATAGGAGAATACATCTGTTTGCACATGTTATATATGCTATATGAATTCAGTTCATCAATAAATGTTTATTTAGCACCTGCTATGTGCAAGGCACTGCTACGTGCTAGGTCACAGCAGTGACTAAGGTAGTCGTAACTAAACACTTACCATAGGGGGGAAAGTCAGACATAAGCACAGGATACAAGTGGAGATGGTGCCATAATGGAGATGAGTAGGTGCCACTGAGTATAACAGAGACAGGTGACCTAATCAGCAGGTGAGACCAGTTTTATATGCACGTAAGCCCAGAGAGAATTAACTTTGAAAAACAAGCTAATCCCTTCCAGATGCTAATACCTTGTAAACAAGGCCCTTGATCTTATTATCTCATGGTGCTTATAATCTCATTGGAAATATATCATATACCTGAAATGGTCTCTTCATAATCCATGTGTCTTGACTGACCTTGAATATGGCAATCATGATTATACTAGCTTCTAACATCATCCTTTCACCACCAGCAGTCACTCACCCCGCTCTGTATCTTTAAGTTCCACCCCACTATACTCATCATGGAGAATGGACCAAAGGTAGTTTCCTTGAACATTTGTAAACTGCATCTTCCAGCTTGTGAAAGTGGAAAAGAGAATGTGATTTGGGGAAGGCAGGTTATTGGCTACGTCAAAATTAAAAACGGATGCTTTCAGAAGATTTTGATGAAGGTTGCTTTCTGGTGGAAGACTTTCCCTACACATTGCGATTCAACTCCATTTGACCGATAATTGCTGAACACCCACTTCCTGCTGGGCTCGTGTTGCATGTCAAGAGATTTACAGATGTCCTATACAAGCAAGACAAACTAACTGGAATTTAAAATCACAGAAATCTTGTACCAGGAGAGGTTCATGCTGTCTGCTGTGGAAACCCACAATAGATATGAGGGAAGAGGGAAGAACATGTAAGGTACATGACTACAGGAGCAAAAGAATTAAATTTAAACAAAAGGAACACCAGCAAGTTTTCCAAAATGACGTACATGTTTAAATGTTGAGAGAAAAACCTCAGGAGAGAAGGAAGAGGCAGTATTGAGCAAGACCATCAACTGAGGATTTCCCAGAAGGAAGAAGTCATGAAAATCCAGAAAGCTGTATGAGGAATTCACCTTTGTGCATCAGAAGGAAAAAAAGAAGAAAGTGTACAGATACAGGAAAATGCACAGGGGATGGTGGAATCAGAGAAATGTCCAGCCTGATGTCTATATTCTTTACAGATTAGGAGACAAGATGGTGTGTTGAAGTGAGGTGGGGAGGTGGTCATTCATGTGATAGACTGTTGAAATAGGTCCCTAAGGAATGAGATGCTATTGAGGTACATGTGTAAAAGACAGCCAGGCAGCAGGAAGGCTCACTGTGGCCAGGTCCATGACTGTGTGAGATATAAATGGGCTCAATTGTGAGATATTCCCTAGCACCTCTCAGCCACCCAAGTATGAGCTCAAGAGCTAAGACTGGAGTTTATTGGGCAAGAGCTGGGGAGGAACAAAGGCAAGGTAGGGTTTCAGCAGGGGCTACATTCTCCAGCCTGAATAGGGCATGGATAAAGGCAGGTTGGTCAATTTGGGTTCAGAGACTAGAAGTCTGATTGGGGTATAATGGGAATAAACAATGTAAGGTAATTATCATTGACACAAGACAAAAATAATACGAGATATTCTAACTAGATAGAACATCACAATTGGAGAGGCTGGGAAATAGTATTTTCTAATTGTTAACTTCTCAGGATGTGTGGAAGACTAATTGTCAGCTTCCCAATCCTCTAAGTCAACTACTGTGATTCCACAGAACTTGAACGTGAATAGCACAACTTTGACGGTGTGTATGTGTTCCTGAGTGAATAAACTAAACAGTTAAGGAGTCATCACTATACTGACATTATCAAATCACTTTTATTTGATAAAAACTTAAATAGATGTGCACATAACACATTTGCTGAGTAACCTATTGGAAGAAAGTTCATTGAAAATCTCTTGTACCAACTGTGCCCTCATTTGATGCTGGAATTTTTTTTTTTACTGGGCAGGACAAGATCATACACATCCTGAAAGACACCTATAATTTCTCACTCATTATACAGGATGATTAGTGTGATTAGCTCATCTTTACAATCTGTTTTGATTTCCAAAGGGGAAAAGTCAGAATAAGGGAATTTTTTTTTCCTTTGGAATTTAAAACCACAAATTCTGGTTTGGGTTTTCTTTTACCACCTGTGATGCAGTTTAGACTCATGATCTTAGAATGCAAAAGACCTCAGAAATCATCTTATCTGATGTCACTTAACAGAGGGTCCAACCAATGGCTGACTCTCCTAATGTTACACCAGCTGTCAGAAGTAGAACTATAGCAAATGCTCAGGTACACCAACTCCTCTTTCCACCAGTCTCTGTCACATCCTCAAGTTCAGAAGTTACATTCCTGAACCAAAAAAAATGTCAACAATTTGGAGTGAAAGTTCATGAAATAATGAGCCCAGAATTTCCATTTGTTTAGGTGTCACTGACTGTCATACCACAAGGACACTAGGCTAATGTAGAGGGGCTGCACAGCGATGTCAGGTATAGACCACAGCTGGGATGGAGACATAGTCCAACCTTGGACAAGTCTTGTCCCCACAGAGCCCAAGCCACAGAGCTGAGTGACAGACACTTTCCCACTAAGTGATGAACAGTCCCATTCCTCCATATATCTCTGGTCACACTTCCTGATACAGTTTCTACTCTTTTTCCTTTTTTATTTTCTTTCGAGCTGGAGATTGAACCAAGGGGCACTCTACCATTGAGCTAAACCTTCAGTCCTTTTTTTTTTTTCTTTACAATTTTTTGATAAAGGGTTTTTCTAAGTTGCTGAGGCTGTTCTCAAAACCTCCTGCCTCAGCCTCCCAAGTCACTGAGATTACAGGTGTGCGCCACCATGCCCAGCTTGGGCTAAAAGTTCTTACTTCTACAAGATCACTGAGCTCAGCAACCCTAGAAGTGCTTGGTGCTAGGGTTTCCAGGCTCAGTCCCACGTACCTCTTGTTACTCCTAACTTGGAACCCCCAGACTATTTCTGTCCACTTTTCCTGACCACTGCCCAGAGAGCAAGAAGATTCCATTTGATGGTGTGAAAAAGCAGAGTGGGACCCAAGGCAGCTTACAGAGCATGATTTTGGTAAAAGAAGGATGTTCTACCATAAGTGGAGACCCCTCCAAGCCTGGTCCCACAATCCCTTCATTGCCTCTCAAACTTCAGGAAGCACTGAAGACATGAGTTGCAGTTTTGAGGCAGCCTTATCACAAAATTTATTTCAGGGAAAATAAAACTAAAATGTATGGAGAAAATAGGTTCATTTAAGCAAAGGTACTCAAAAGCATATCCAATCCAAACTTGACCTCAGGGGCCTGTTCCAGTTTTATTCTCCTCCTCTGCTGATTAAATCAATGAATAAAGGTGTGTTTCCCTTTTGAAAAGACTGCACTGGCAGAAATGAATTGTATTAAACTAATCAGGTACGTGATGCAAGATGTTCTTAGATCACCTGTGCCAGTCCTTCTGTTGCACTGACCCCAGCACAGTCCGGCTGTGATGCCATCCCCTTTACGAGGGCCTCCCTCTCTCCAGGCAAGCCTACGCAAGCCTCTCCAGGCAAGTCTACATCAGTCTATACTTATGTACACATCCCATCCTAGGCTAGCCTGCCCTCTTCCTTGCCAATCGCAGTCTCTGGCCTACTGTTGTCCCACAAGTCATTTGCTATTAATAGCTCAAGTTCATGAACAATTTACTGTTTCAAATATAAATTATTGGGAATTCAAGATTGTCCCCTATAATAACACCACTCTGACTCATTCACATTGCAACACCCTTCCTGGAGGGAAGGGGAAGGCCCATGCTAAGCAGCATGCCAGGAATATCCCAGGGACCTAGTCACACCCAGGGCAAGTGGTCTCTGTGAGCATCATCCAGGAAGAGTGCACGGAGGGAAAACAGCTGAGAACTTCCTTCCAGTAAAGAGGAAGTCAAACCTTTAGTTGTGGAATTGCCTTAAACCCAATTATTGGTTCAGAGATGAAAAAAAACCAGGCCTCTTTTCTATTTTCCAAGAGCTAATTGTTCAAGGGATAGAGACCAATTCAGGGATAGAAACAGAGGAGACACCATAACCCTATCTTTTCAGACTAATTCTTCTAAGAGCTGAATGCTTGGGCCACACAGGGTCTTTAAAATTCCTAAAGGTGGGCTGGGGATGTGGCTCAAGCGGTAGCGCGCTCGCCTGGCATGTGTGCGGCCCGGGTTCGATCCTCAGCACCACATACAAACAAAGATGTTGTGTCCGCCGAAAACTGAAAAATAAATATTAACGAATTCTTTCTCTCTCTCTCTCTCTTAAAAATAAAATGAAATTCCTAAAGGTAGCAGGAGTTCTACAGCAGCACTATAGAACCCTTCCTGGGCGCAGGGTGGTTTAAAAGAGTAGCCTCATTTGAGCCTCCAAATAATTCTTTACTGTAGATATCAGGGTGGTTCCCATTTGAAAGATGAGAGACAGAAGCTCAGAAAACTTAAATAATTGGCCCAGGGGCCCAGAGTTAGTGAGTTACAGAACAGGGATTCATACCCAGAGACAGTATCATTCTGAAGTCCATATCTGCAACCACGGCCCTGTTCTGTCACCCAAAAGAAAAGGTAACTGAGAGTGAAAACCACCTCAAATATATAAATGGGTTCCCTTCTCCTAGAAGATCTGTCCTGCACTTCCCCATTTACCTAACCCACCACCACCCACCCTCCAAGCCTTTGTCTCTGTTCCCTTTCTCTGAACACACTTCTCCTGTTGCAGTGAATGCCCTTCCATCCTCTGGTGCCCTGCTAAGTTCTCCACTGCAGTCCTGGAGTCTGCCACATGTTGATGAAGGGTTTGCCTGTTTACACAAACAGCTTCCTCCTTTCTCCTTTGGAGATATGAGCAAAATCTGCAAGCTGGACACGCCCATCCTTGAGAGAGATGTAGAATGTCTGTCTGAGCAGCCACATCTCAGGCCTGGCGTTCCCCTTGAACCACAGCCCTGGGTTTGGCACAAAGCAGGTGCTCACTGTGTGTCTGGGGAGATCCCGAGTGTTTGGCAGGTGAGATTTGGCCTTTGTAGTAAAGGACTGGAGTGGAGCCTCAGCACCTTCACAGTTCTAGCTTGGGACTTGAGACAGGTTATTTCATCTCCATGATACCATTTCCTCTTCTGTAAAAATGAGGGATTATATGCACATCACATGATTGTTGATTAGAGTAAATGAGAAGCTACATGTGCCTCAATCGGCCAGCACCTTCTACTCTGCTCTTGCCTTATATACAAAGAATCCTGAAGACATTTCTGACCAAACATGTGCAAAATAACTGTGAATGTCCGAGAGAAGAAAGATGTTGAAGATGCTCGTTCTTGGCCCCAGAAACTTATGAATAGCACAATGACACAATATTGAAGTCATCAACCAAAGTAATAATAGGAAAAGTGTCAGAAGTCAAAGTACAATGAATAAGCAGTATCAGTCATAATTATTATGAGAGCTCCTAGGAGGGCAAAAATTGTTGGAGCTGGGGTGTCAGGGGAATTCTTTTTGAGAAAGTGGACTCTGAGCTGAATTTAAAAAAAAAAAAAAAGAAACATAGAGCAATTTATTGTTAGAACAGATAGAAAAGCGTTACTGTTCATCATTATTGTGTGTATGTCTGTGTCTGCTTGTGGGCACTGGGGCTCAAACCCAGGGCTTCTTGCAAGCTAGGCAAGCGCTCTATCTCTGAGCTACATTCCCAGCTCAGGCTGAGTTTGAAGAATGCATGTGAACCAGAAGGTGGGAACCCAGGACCTGGGGCCTGAGACCTGCTTGGGCACAGTTCTTATGGGGCAGAAACAGGAGACTTGACCACCTACAGGGATAGAGAAAAGACATCCATGACAGAGAGAGAGGGTAAGTGGGGACCAGTGTCAAACCCAGGAGGAATGCAGCCACTGATTTTTTTTTTCCTCCCAGAGAAAATAAAAATCTGGATTTCTAGGCAAAATATCACTATTTTGAAATGTTTATACAAATTTTGAAAAATGCAAAAACTGCTCTGCAGGCCAAACGAAACATGTGCACAGGCTGGATTCAACATAGGGAGAAACCATTTAGAATTTCTGCTTTTAGAAATGCTGGGAAAGCAGAGGGTAGAAGTTACTTGAATGCCAGACTAAAAAATTTGGAGGTTTTTTTTTTTTTTCTTACAGAACATAAAGGATCCACGAGAAGAGGACAGCTGACATCTTTTCCATTCAGAGCCCCCCCAAAAAGAGGCATAATGGAAAATCCTTTACTCCAATTTTTATCATCATAACTTTTTCCTATTTATCTCTCTTACGGGTTTTGCCTAAGAAACACACTTACTTATCACTGTGCTAATGCTTTTGGCTTTGTTTACTTGTAAAGGGACAAAACCTGAAAATTGGTCCTTACACTTTATTCAAGTATTTTAATTAAACATTAACTTTGTGCCTTAGTAGCTTTATCTGTAAAAGGATTAAATTAGGGAATATTTAAGATCCCTTCAAGTCCTAATATTTTAAGACTTGATGACTCTATGTAGAAGAAATTAGTCCTTCATTGGTATATGCTAAAAATGTAATGGTATTTTTTAAAACAAGCAGTTTCAGAGTTCTTAAAACACTTCATGCTAATTTTATTTGCTCTTTTTCAATGACCCTATGAAAGTCTAAATATTATCACTCCCATTTTATGGAGAAAAAAGCTGAGGCTCAAGCAGATAAAGTGACTTGCTTCATGACCACAAAAGTATCAATGACAGTGCTATAGTTCTCTTCTCTACTTTATACCCAACATACCCCTGGGCACTAGAACTTTTAGAGATGGATCAGAAATATGTCAAGTTCCTAAATATGCTTTCGGGTGAAGGTCCTTTGTTTGTTTCTATCTTTTTTTTTTTTTTTTTTTTTTTGGGGCCGGGGTTTGAAATCAAGGCCACTTGACCACTGAGCCACACCCCCAACCCTATTTTGCATTTTATTTAGAGATAGGGTCTCACTGAGTTGCTTAGCGCCTTGCTTTTGCTGAGGCTGGCTTTGGACTCATGATTCTTGTGCCTTAGCATCCTGAGCCACTGGGATTACAGGTGTGGGCCATTGGGGCCCTCCCCAGCAATGTCCTTGGTGTCTGAGGAATATTTTATGTACCTTTGGAAGCAGCCTGAAATTGTCTCTGGTTCAGTCTTAGTGGGGGGCGGAGATGGAGGGTGAGGAGCTAGTGCATGGGAGAGAATAGCATCTGCTCTTACCTTATTTAGGAGGCAATCTTCTACGTCTCCCCCAGAAAAGGATTTCATGGCTTCTTGGTCAACGCCGAGTAGAGCAGGAACTTCTAGGGGCTTCCTGCAGTGGAGGACAACACCTGAGGGCAGTTTGCCCAGGAAGGGTAGTCTCTGGATGAAATTGCTCTGAATACGTGTACAAGGACCAGAGATGTGGCTTTTCAACTCGTCCCTCAAGTTTTTATTTCCAAATTGCGAGAATCCGTCTGTCATCTTTTGAGGAATTAAAAAGAAAAAAAAATTTTTTTAAGGAGAGTTGATGAAATTAAATTGGAATCCAACCTAATTTTACCTGTGACTATTTCAACCTAACAGTTCTGCTGACTGCTGCTCTGACCCGGGAATAGTTTTCCCAGTTGTATTTCCCACCCAGATACTTCAAAGTTCCATTCAAGACAGAAAGTCCTATGGTTGGCCCTCTCCCTCCTTTTTATGCTTTTGTTCGGACACTGGATGCAGGTTGAAGTTCAGTATCTTTCTATCTCCTTGTTCTTACCTTGTTGACAGTAAATATCCCTTGCTCTCCAATCCAGAAAATCCCGCAAGTGGATTTACCTTCTTTGCAATAAACAAATAGAAAAATTGCCAAACAAACAGCCTCATACTCATCCTTATGCCTACAACCAAGTAACCAGGGCTTAACAGTTGACACTGGAAAAGCATGCACACACAGAGGCACACCTACATACACAGGCACACGTATGCACACAGGCACACAGAGTGACGCACGCTTACACACACCACCCACCCAGAGGAATGGCAGGGTAGCCATCCTTGGGCTCCGCTGCTGACCTTTCAATGTAATTTCCCTCTTCCCACTTGAAAACTGCCATTAAAATTGAAGTCAGTGTAAACAGACCCCCTGAAAGTTAAGGAAACACTCACGTCTGGTTTTGCCAGTAAAATTCATGTTGGAAAAACAGCTCAGGCAGCAAGTTCCCAGTCTGACTGGCTGGGGCTAGTTTTACTATAGGGAGGAAAAATTTCACAATGGCTTGATCTCCGTGCAGCTGGTAAACATCACAGCCTACTATCAGAACATCTGAAGGACTGACAGCATGGCGAGGAGCCCAGCTCCCTACTGAGCAATGCCTCTCAGGCAAGCGTCTTTCCAAACCTACCTCTGAGTGCAGCCTCTAAGACACAGCAACCACGCGGACCAGAGGCTCAGTCACTGGGTTTCTGTGGCCCAACATTTGCATTTCCTCCCAGACTCTGCCCAGGTGAAAGCCACATCACAAGCTCCCGGCTGCTCTGTGCTCCACCCACCTCCCTAGTCCCAGCTTTCAGTCTGGCCTCTGCAGACGCCTTCAAGGAATCATAGACTGATATAAAACTTAAAAAGCTCCAGTCTTTCCAATGACCCTCCATTACCTGCCTCAAAACTGCCCTCTTTTCTCTATGACATCAAATGCTCCCACTTATTCAAGCCTTTTTCCCCCCTTGGCTTCTCATACTACACAGGTCATCATGCCCAACTGTCCTATCAGTGTCTCCCAGATGGAACAAGAGACTTCCCCTCTCTCCACCTGCCCTTCAGAATTCTCTCTCTGCCTCATCTTCAACGTCACCAAAGTCTTCTCATTTCTCTCCTGTGCTCCTGTTTTTGATCTTACTTCTGCTTTCACTGGAATCATTAGCTTGGAAGTCCCTTTCTTCTGGTGGGGACTTCCCTAATGAACTCAGGCTACCCCAGGGTCTGGCCCTCAGAAGCACGCAGGTTCACCATTTCTGTACCTGTGGCTCTGCTATCTTGGTTGCTCCAGTTTCGCAGCTGATCAAAATATTATGTCTGGAACCAACTCTTGCCCTAAGACACCTGGCCAGGTGTACCATGGGAAAACAAAGAACTGGGACACAGGACGAGCCTTCGAGAAGCAAGGAGCAAGAAGCAAGAACCATGTGCTCAGGGCAGGTAACTGCACTCTGGTTTCAACAGGATGCACTTCCAGGAAACAAAGGTGTTTTATGAACACACAGTAGTGCTTTACTCTTCAAAGGCAAAGGTTCCACAGCACAGGACCATCTCCCCCAAACAGGCTCTCTGACTGTTCCTATTAGACACATTGGTGAAGACAGAGTTTCTTGGTAGACATAGATCTCTGGCTAATTGAGTGATGAATCAGCAAAAAAAAATTTTGCATAACAGGATGTCTAAGGCACTGTACTAGGCCACTGAGGAGGATTTAAAGCTTATTCACATTCTCCCCCTTCTTCAGGAAATACACATTCGTGTTTTTCATGATTCACATGAAATGCAAGTATTAAAATGTAAATTGGCTTTGGCTCAGTTTCTATTGTGTGGACCAACAACTTGTTTTTAAAAGTCAGTTTAACGAGGGATTCAAAGTGTTACACTGAACGTAACCCTTCAACATGTAGCGTCTTAGGAAGATCATGCATACTCTTGTTCACCAGCAAAAGGACTGAGATTTTCACGCTAAGAACAGTATGTTTGATCCAAATCAATCATTTTATTCACTTGTTCTGAGACAGTCTCGCTATGTTTTCCAGGTTGGACTCAAACTTTCCATCCTGGGGCCTCAGCCTCCTGGGTAACTGGGATTACAGGTTTGCACCACTGTGCCCAGCTTGAGTCTTAAATATGCAAATGTGTTGAACTTCTCCAGAGTTCCAAACTCTGACTTACTCCCTGAAGGATTTCCTTTAATCCTGGAGTGACTCAACTCCAACAGCTCAGAAGAGGAGAGATAATCATAATCGTCTGTGCTATGAGGAAACCCACAGTAGTGAACAATTTGAGGCAGGGGCGGTGTCTATTCTGTATCCCAGTGAAACCTCAGAGCCTAACACACAGTTGACCCTCAGGAAATACTACTGTAGATTTATTTGATTGCATTAAAGTGCCATGCTAATAAAAATATTTTGAGATGCATAAAATCACTTTATAAGTTATAAATTAAATTACAGACATGTAACCATGACAGCTTAAATTACTATCTCCTTTTATAGGAAAGCCTGATAAAACAGAACTTAGCATAAAGCTTGGCACAGGATCAGACCTTAGCAAATATTGTCTTCATAATCCATTTTATTCACTGAAGAAAAAGACTTCTTTTACTGGACGTGAATAATTCTGGTCTTACTTGGTGGGTGAGATCTTTCAATGAGTCATTCATCGTGGTTCCACCAAAAACCTGATGTTCTCTCCTCTCACACTAGAAATGACAACTGAAAGAGTTTGATCTCCATCTTTGTTTAGGTTCAGAGGTAGGGGATCCCAAATTCAAATACTTACATGGGCCAGGCCAGTCATAAAATAAATGAGGATCAGGTAGAACAATGGAAAGGGGTGGGTTTCAAGAATATATGCCTAAGTCGCTAGAGTTTTGTCTTTTACTTTTTTAAAACAACACTGTACTAGCCACAGGATCCCACCCCCTCCTGCCCACACTGTAGATTCCTACTAAAACAGGTGAGAGAGTCCCAATGTCTTCCCTGAGACCCTATGTGTTCTCATAGGCAGATTCTCTCTGCTTGGACACCTTCCCCTCCTCCCCTCCCTCTTCATTGGGCCAACTCCTCCAAGATGATCCTGCAAGATTTGTCTCTCTGGGGGCCTTGTCTGATTCTGGAGGCTGAGTAGGGATCTCCATATGCTGTTCCTAAGCCACCCAGTGCTAAACTTCTGCTTTAGCTGTTATCACACGGCACTTTTCTGGCTTAATGGTATCTATTCCTCGTCTCACCACAAGCTTCTTGAAGGAAAAAAATTTACATTGTTGGAACCAGTATTTGATATATAGCAGGTGCTCAAAAGATGAATGAATGAATCCATGAACCAATGAATAACTAAGATGTCCTCTCTCCGATTTGTCCATTCAACAGCCCAGTCTCATCCTATCTACCGGCATTTTTTTTTAAAGTGAGAAAAATAAAAGATGAATAATGAGTAGGCTTTCATTGTGTTCATCTGGGAACACAATTAACACAAGTAGAAAGGGAAAAGGGCAATGTCTCTTGGAAAAGCTGACGTCCACTCAGAAAGAGCAAAGCAACAGAATAAAATATGCTTGCACCTGAAGGAAGCCGCTATTTGTGGCCTAAAGCTGTCAGGCATGCTGAAAAACTGCCCAATAATTAGAACATGCCATGCAGGTCCTGGAAGTCAAAACCCCACATGTCTTTGTAAAAGTCATAGCTCCATCTGGCCATTTCAACAGAGAAGCACATTATTTCTTAGCAGCAATCATTATCCCAATACATCCAGAAAGAGGGGTGGCCCTCCAGCATCAGCCCAAAGGAAGAAACAAATGTTTACTGAGGAGCAATAGTTCCATCATTTGTACAGCCTGTGATGGATGAGAAAGGATGGAAAACTGTCAACTCCAGCTTCCTATGCAGCAAAGATGACCTGGTTTTGTTACAAAAATAGTATGTAATGAATGATCCCAATTTGGGCTGCGGGGAGGGAGAATATCTAGATTTGTTTCCATCTGTCCAAGTGTCCATCCATTTATATCTTGTGCACCTCAGTTATTCTGGATTTTCCTTGTTCAATCAATTCGGGCCAGAAGGCAACCCAGGAAAAAAATTTTTAACAGAAACCAGTTGTTGTCGTAATGAAACTACTGTTACGGCTGGACTGACACATTATTTTCAAATCAAATACTAAAAGGTGTTTCTATTTCCATAGCTTCCTGCTTGGTTGAAAAAAAAATGTATTTTCGTCTGAAAATTTTTCCTGAAGTCAGGGTGCAATCCTCTTCCCGCTACTCTGAATCATGCAAGGCCAGTCTATTTTTAAGTTTTAACCACGAGAAGAATTGTGAGAAAAAGAAAACCATTTAAGGAAGCAGACATTTGGTTTTATTTATTTGTTACACCTGAAGCTAACTGGCAACTCTGTTGAACTGTTCACCTCAGTTTCTGAGTTGGCTGAGTTAGGAAGGAAAGAACAGGTTAAAGGAATTAATTGTTGCTGGTTCTTGGGAACAAAGGGACAGTCCTCCTTCCCAGCTCTGCCCTCTATTCTCATGACTCATGGCAAATTTGTCCTTTTTTCTTTTCAGTCAAAAGAGACCCAGAGTAAAGATACAGATACAGAGATCAATTGAACAAAATAAAAAATTTCAGTAATAGATTTACACAAATATAGCCAGTTGATTTTTGATAAAAGTATAAGCATAATTCAGTAGGAAAAGATCTTCTTTTCAACTGATGGTATTGGGACAATTGGTCATCCATACAAA